AGCATAAAGACTGGAAGCAAGGAAAAAAAAAATAGCCTTCCAAAATTCAGAAATACACCTCCCAACAACCAGAAAGCTCAAACAAAGTATTCATGAATGAAATTATACTCAGACATAAATCCAAAGAACAATCACTGTAAAAGCTCAAAAAAGTGGCATGTTTTCAAGACAAAGGTGTTAAAAAGATTTGACAAATCTGTTGAATTAAAAGAAAGCATGTATATCCATTAAGTGAGATCTAAAAGAAGAAAGGTGGGGGCAGATTTCCCAGCTATATTGCCTTTCACTGACTAATCTGAGGAAACAGCTGCATACGCACTCAGAGCCTCCCCCTGTGCTGTCCTGGAGACTGACAGCAGAGACAGATTCAGTGGAAGACAACACACTAAAGGCCTGACTCACACAGTTGATTATAATGAGGCATCGTAAGAAACGTTCAGTCCCACCAAGATCTGAAGAGCTTTGGGAAAGTGAATGAATTTGAAGTGTCTTTTCTGAACAATGCTAATTTAAATAAATCTTAACACAGTCAGCAGGAACAATGCTTATTGTTTAAGGATTTAAGGATAACCATAGTAATAAGTTCTGGTATGAGTAAAAGTAAAGTAAAAAAAATTACTTTTAATGATTTTGATCTTCTTTAGATAACCACGGGAGAAAAGGCTGAGAAAACCAAATATATTGAGTTTTCCTTTCTTATCTCTAATTTCTGAGAAGAACCATATAAATAAACATGTATTGTACAGAAAATAGAAATGTTTGTGAAAGGAAAGCTGTCTAAAAAACCAAGAAGTCTTTAAAAAAGTACAGCCATCTGTTCTGGGACTACTTCTGGGAAGAACTTCTCTAGGAAGTTAAATTCTAAAAAAAAAAAGCCAAAAAAAGTTGGCTGCAATGAGCTCTAGATTTGTAGAGGTATAAATTTCACAGTTAAATTATGAAACTCAGGCCTAAATTAAACCAGCATTCATTATGTAATTACCGAAAAATTGGCTGTTATAATGAAGGTAAAAATGAATGGGTGGTGAACATTCCTGTAGCAGTTAGTAGACAGCAGTCAGTCCAGATAGTTCAACGTTCCTGAGAAAACCAAATGCTTTATTTAAGGTGTTAGAGATGGTTTATTATGTTTAAATGATTTGCTGAGATTTGAACTGGTGAAGCTTGCTGAAGTAAGCTCTGCTGGGGCCAAGGTTGGATTTGGTTTGACCCTGGCTTGTAAATGGTAAATTGTAAATGGACTGTACTTATATAATGCCTTTCTAGTTTTTTCAACCACTCAATGCACTGTACACCACATGCCACACTCACTCATTCATACACATTCATACACTGATGGCAGTGGCTGCCACGCAAGGTGCCACCAGAACGGAAACTAATCATTCATACATACTCATACACCGATGCACAGCATTTGGGAATTTGGGGTTCAGTGTCTTGCCCATGGACACTTCGACATGCAGCGAGAGGAGCCGGGGATCAGACTGCCAACCTTCTGAGTAGTGGACGACCCGCTCTGCCTCTAAGCCACAGCCGCCACTTCGACATGCAGCGAGGGGAGCCAGGGATCGGACTGCCAACCTTCCAAGTAGTGGACGACCCGCTCTCGAATGTATGAAATAAGAAAAGTTTATTGCACATAATGAACAAATGTGAACCGATGTGGTATACTGAGGGATGAGGGATGAAGGGATGGAGGTAGGGTCAAGTGATGAGGGATGGAGGTAGGGTCGAGTGATGAGCGATGGAGGTAAGGTCGAGGGATGAGGGTTGGTGGAATGAAGGTCGGA